TTAGTAACCCAGGCCACAACTACACTTAACGTGGAGGGCAGATCCACCACCCAAATCTCTCATTTTTTGATGATTACTGGAGGCCCTCAAATTAGATTGAGGGCACTGTGCTAGAGAAATTGGGATTAACCCCTGTGCCATTTAAAAATTTAGGGAAAGAAGAGGGGTAAAAACTTTATTACAATCACTAGGGCTTAGAAAAGTTGGACCGCAATTCACAGAATGGGGACCAGCACTTTAAAAAAGTTGCTTTCTTGAAATGCATCTCCCAGGATTCCCCTGCAGCAGTGGTCCCCAACCTTGGACCTCCATATGTTCTTGGACTTCAACTCCCAGAAATCCTGGCCAGCAGAGGTGGCAGCAAAGGCTTCTGGGAGTTGTAGTTCAATAACATCTGGAGGCCCAACGTTGAGGATCACTGCCCTGCAGCACATGTTGGCATAAGGAATTCTGCGATCTGTAGCCAAAGAAGTAACTTTTCAAGTTCCTGTTATACCGACTGTCTTTTGAGGCCTGTGTCATGAAAGACCAGAGCAACTCATTGGTTAAATACAAAAATCTGTTCACTTTAGTCTCCCTGTATTCTCAAAGGCTTTCATGGCTGGGATCTGATGGTTGCTGTGGATTTTTTGGGCTCTTTGGCCATGTGTTCTGAAGATTGTTCTTCCTAACGTTTCGTCAGTGTCTGTGGCTGGCATCTCTCCTTTATCCTCTGAAGATGCCGTCCACAGAGACTGGCGAAACATTAGGAAGAACAACCTTCAGAACATGGCCAAAGAGCCCAAAAAATCCACAGCAACCATTAGTCTCCCTGCCTTGTTATCAATGTAAATACTATTTATTTGTTTATTTGTTTGTTTGTTTGTTTGTTTGTTTGTTTGTTTGTTCGTTTGTTTATTTATTTATTACCCTGCCTATCTGGTCGATATGACGACTCTGATCATATTTAAAACTGGATAGTAGTTCGCTTCGTTGTTAGCAGGCAGACAAATTTATAGCTTTTATCTCCTTCATCTCGACGGGATGACTTCATTTTTCTTTTCTTGTCCTACACCGTGTTAACACAAGTTACCTATCTCAAGCTGGGTGCTCCAATGGATCGACAAAACGCGCCGTGACTTGAAACATACCGGGTATAAAATCCAAGCCAAGCAAAACACATTTGTTTTCAAGGGAAAAAAAAGGATTCTCCTGCCGGAATGGAAAACCAAAGCGAAAACAAAGATTGAAAACTGAAAGAGAAGCAGATTGCTTCTGCTGTGAGAGCTTGCAGATTACAACCCTAACATAAAGGAAGAAGACGCAGAAGGTTGTGTCTGAGGAAATGGATTGCAATCTGCAGCAGCTCATCCTTTCACTTTTTAAGGTGCCCCAACTCTTTCCTTTTATTTTCACTTTTGTTTTCCATTCCAACAGGAGAATATTTGTTTTGTTTTATTCAATTTATAGACCACCCCATTCGTGCATGCGCTATGCTGAACGATTTACACAGAATTAAAATGTACTTTAGGAGACTCGTGGCAGAGTGGTTAAACTGTAATACTGCATCTAAAACTCTGCTCACGCGACTCAGGTTCAATCCCAGGTTTGGCCGGCTTGAGGTTCACTCAGCCCTCCATCTTTCCAAGGTCATTAAACTGAGTTTACTAGGGGAGCCGGGTGTGACCTGCCTGCATAATTCAGTTGTAGAGTGTGCTTTAAGTGCAAGGGGGCTGTATATAAGGAGCACAGTTTGGTTTTTTTACAACATCCCACAATAACAAAAAATACAAAACTTGTTTTTGGTTTTGTTAAGCTAAAATAAACAAAAGTATCCACTACGGTGTCGTGTCTAGAGTAACAGATAATGAACTTGGGAGACCAGGGTTTGAATGCCCGCTCACTCAGCCAGGGAACAGGGCAGGGGACTCAGATAAAACCACCCCTTACACATTTCATTTACCGTGAAAGCCCCATTAGAGTCACTCTAAGTCAAATTCAACTTGACAGCCTATGACACAGACCCAAAGCTAGACCGACTCCTCTTGGAAACCTCTTTTTAGAATCCAGTGTGACTTAAAAATGCATGGCCTGGCTTGGCTTCGGCCCACCATTGAAAGTAAAATAATGCCTCCTTCTGGGTTTGCTTCTAAAACAGGAGCCGACAGTCCTTAAAAGTCAGAGAGCACAGCGTCTACGGACCTTACGTCGATGGGCTGTCGAAGCTGGCCGTTGCCAGCTACAAGGTAAAAAGAAACCAGTATAATGGGATTGTTCTAATAATGGCCAATGCACTCTTGTTTGAATGAGGGATAAAAAATCTCTCCTCCCCATGAAAAGTCCTAGAATATTCCAAAAGTCTGCTCTGAGATTAAAAAAAAAAAAACCCTCCAGAACATGGCTTTTTGAACTTGAGGGGTTTGGGGATTGACTGATACTGCCAGCCAGCCTTCCTCCCTGTTCCACCCTTGCCTGGTTATCTGCTTTCTGTCTGCTGCGGGAATGTTTACAGTAGAAATTAGAACACCAAACATAGGCCATAAATGGCTGCACATGGGACGTAACCACACAGCCAGGATCCTTAAGGCCGACGAACGCTTCGAATGTTTTACTTCTGATATCTGTATTTCATTCTGCGTTTCATCCCCCAACCCCCATATGTCTAAAGAAGCGGACACGATCAACGAAAGCTCCTATTAAACTGTAACAGTTAGTCTTTAAGGTGCCACCCTGTTTTTGTCTTGGCTTGGTTTGGTTTGTTCCTTTGGGTTTATCCGGAACATAGCTGGAAAGAGCTGGCGAGGAGGGGAGGGGAGAGGGACCCAAAAACGCAGTGCTTTTCCTTTGGCATCACGCCGGTTTTGGGCCAGTGGGATCGTCCCCACTGCTACCAGTTTATTGGTCTGGCAGTTTTCTGCAAAACGGATGCCTATAGTAGTTCTCAGCAAAGCCAGACCTTTACACTCACACTATTTATGAATATAGTTACAACATGGTTTAGAGACCTAACAATCCTGGTCTAATAAACCATGGCTTGTCAGCCTAAGGATGAGCTGTGTTTCCTGTCGTTCCTCATATCCTTCTTATGTGCTTGGCTTCAACGAGGCATTATTTTTTTTAAAAAGGGTTGTGCCATTTGCAAATGAGGATCTCAGCCCTCACTGCTCGTTTATGAAGGGGGCTTCCACACCCAAGTGCTTTGCCACCCACCTATCTTTAGGGTATAAAGAACAGACACAAAGAGTAGGAACCCCCCCCCAATCCATAGGATCCATATCCGCGGATTCATTTATCTGCTGTCTGAAAATATTAAATAAAAAACTTCAGAAATGCACATTTTAACCTATTTCCAGGATGTATTTACCATTTACTGTGGTCTTACTGTAGTTTTTTTTTCTAGCGAGGTCAGTTTTTTTCAGGTGTGCCCCCTGCAGAGAGCTGGTGGAGGATTGCTTCGGTGGCCAGAATCCTGTTGCGTTTCCCCACGGTCATCACACCGTCAGCCTAAATCTCAAGAGCTGACGTCTGGAGGGCTAGAACTCAGGGTAGCCATTGGCCGCTGTGTGCTGGCCGAGTCGTGCGACTTGACCTCCGACAGCAAAAGGCCTCTCCTGCCTTCTTAACTTGTAGTGATTTGCTTCTGAAACTTACACAGTTTGTGTTACACCAGTGAGCCTAAGAAATAGGATTCTGGCCTCTTGCGTCCCCCCCCCCGGGAATTTCCTGCACAAGTTTATCTACCGTGGAGGGATGGTCATGACACTTCCCCTCATATTGCTGCTTTCTCTGTCTAGTGACGGTGAATGAATGAAGGGAAAGAAAGGTTATTCCAGAGTCTTTCCATCCATTTTGAAGTGAGAAAACCTAGGAGCAATTTTAGCCCTGTTTTGCCTGCAGCGTCCTTCATGGCTTTGTGTAGGGTTTGGACTACCTTTCCCATTACCCTCAGCAGTGTGCTAGGGAGGGCAAGATGCAACCTTCCAACCATCTCTTCGGACCCCCAGGTGGAAGAGGATGGTTTAGAACACCCTCTAAACCAGTGGTCCCCAACCTTGGGCCTCCAGATACAGTGGTGCCTCACTTGACGACGTTAATTCGTTCCAGTAAAATCGCTGTAGAGCGAAAACGTCGTCAAGCAAAATAAAAAAGCCAATTGAAACGCATTGGAAACCATTCATTGTGTTCCAATGGGTTGAATACCTGCTCATCCAGCGAAGATCCTCCATACGGCAGCCATTTTTGGTGCCTGTAAAGCGAGGAATCCATCCTAGAAAGCAGCAGGGGGCAATTTTGAGCAGCCGGCAGCCATTTTGAAACCCAACAATCAGCTGTTTTGATCGTCGTAATGTGAAGAATTGGTACCCGAAGCAGGGAACCGGTTGTCGCAAAGCGAAAAAGCCCCATTAAAACATCATTTTGCAATCGCAATTGCGATCGCAAAAACATTGTCGTGAAGCAGATTCTTTCTTATACGAGGTAATCATTAAGCGGGGCATGACTGTATTCTTTGACTACAGCTCCCAGAAGCCTTCACCACCACCTCTGCTGGCCAGGATTTCTGGGAGTTGAAGTCTAAGAACATCTGGAGGCCCAAGGTTGGAGACCACTGCTCTCAACCGATAAAGACTCCATCTCTCTGGCCCAGCACTCTCCCTACGCAGGACAAGTCATTTCTTTCCAAATTCCCAACGAGGACAGCGTTGGAGAACGGCTTCTTGAGAGACAGGCTAGCTTTCATCCTATGCTGCTGAGATTCTGGGATATATAAATCAGAAAAATAACTGATTTCCAGGCTTGGCTTTGAGAGCTGTACATAAAACATCTGCAAGATGTTTTAATCGGAGATGCCCTCCCAGGAAAGAACCTGGGGCTCACTTCCTGTAAAACACACAATCTTGCTCCTAAGCTAAGGCAGCTTCTGAAGTAACTTCTGTGGCTTAGGTCTCTGGCTCTAGAGCCAGAGGTTGGAGGTTTGATTCCCCGCTGTGCCTCCTTGACAAGATCTGGACTCGATGATCCATTAGGGCCCCTTCCAGCTCTGCCATTCTACGATTATTAAATAAGATCCTGTTGGCATCAGTGGGGACTTGTGTTTAAGCAGTTGTGTGTGTGTTTTTTTTTCTTCTTTCATGAATGGACTTCCTACTAGCAGTGTCCTTGGGCGTCCTCAACTGGGAGAAACTCTCACCTTTAGAATATATACGGGTCCATTGATAATAAGGCATGGGAAGCCCATTTACATCCCACATCCCCCCACCTCTGCTATGCAGGCCCCTGGAGAGATTAAGGATCTGATAAGCTGTAAAAGTGACAGGCAAAGTCTTAAAAGTACTGCTTCATTTCCTTGGCTGTTTTTTTTTTCTTTAACCTTTACAAAACTGGTTTAACAAGTCCTCCTGCTAAGGCCTAGGGTTATAGCCTGAGGTGTCTGTGAAGAAATTGGCATTGAAGCAAGGAGACTGGGGGGGCCCTTGGTTGGTTTTCCATCAGCAGAGCTGAAACAAAAAGAAAATAAAGGCAGGAATGTAGAAGATGCCTTAATTTGCCTCGGACATGAGCGCACCTCACTTTTCTGCTCCGCCGTTCAGGAACAACTACGTATCTTCTTGGCCAAAATGTGAACTTTGGTTTCACGGGAAGTTATAGTCTAATCTCTCTGTTTCACCGTTAAGGAAAATGGCGATGAAAATCTTCCGTCTCTAGACACCGTGCGGACTGTATGGTCTTATCTTTCTTCCCTTTCTTCTCTGCTTTTTAAAAAGGTTTTCCCTTCCTTCTTTTTCGGTAGCATCTTGGCTGAAAAAGAGATAGGTGATTTTAAAAGCTACTACACTTTTCTTGTTGCTCATGAGTTGGCCTCATGTGTTAACCCAGCGTGGACTTTAGGATTCCCAGCCAAATAATAGCCATAATACCATCATCACCATCTTAGAACGGCAAAGCTGGAGTGGACCCTCTGGATCATCTCATGTCCAGTCTATTGCCAAGGAGGGTCAGTGGGGGGTTTGAACTCCAATCCAGTGGCTCTGCAGCCGTATACCTAAACCCACTGATCTATTCAGCGGTTCAAATAAATATTCATGTTTTATTGTGCTTTTAAAAAGTCTTTTCAATCTTCTAATTTCGTTGTCTTTTAAAAATTAAAATCGTCCTCATCATGCGTCGTCAACTCTGTTCTGACGGACAGCGATCTTTACCAGATAGAAAATACTCAGAAGTGGTTTCACACCCCCTCCTCCTTCTTTCCAGGGTTTTTCTGGGTAGATCATGTTATTACTACAGTATTTCTTATTTATTTAAAGCATTTATAGGCCACCTTTCTCCTAAAAGTTTCAAACAGGGAGTATTAAAAGAGGTGACATTAAAAGCCAAAAAAAGGAAATTATTACACAGAAGTGGTTTACCATTCCCTTCCTCCAGAGGGCGCCCTGGGAACATTGTACAGGTTGCCCAAGGCTACCCAAGCTGGCTCTTCTCCCAGGAGGCACAGTGAGGATTCGAATTCCCAACCATTAGCTCTGCGGACAGATACCTAAGCCACTGAGCTATCCAGCCAACTGTTTCAAATATTACTATAAGTTTAATGGGGTTTTAGTATCCTAATATGTTACGTTTTTAGTCATGTCTATTTTGAATCATTTATGAGCTGTCTTAAGTCATTACGTTGAGACAAAGGCAGCATAGAAATGAAATAAAGAAATAATACTGTGGTTGTAGTTGGCAATAAGTATAGACCCCGAGTGTTCCCTGGAAGGACAGATCCTGAAGCTGAGGCTCCAATACTTTGGCCATCTCATGAGAAGAGAAGACTCCCTGGAAAAGCCCCTGAAGTTGGGAAAGTGTGAAGGCAAGAGGAGAAGGGGACGACAGAGGACGAGATGGTTGGACAGGGTCACCGAAGCGACCAACATGAATTTGACACAACTCTGGGAGGCCGTGGAAGACAGGAGGGCCTGGCGTGCTCTGGTCCATGGAGTCAAGAAGAGTCGGACACGACCGAATGACTAAACAACAACATAGACCTTGGTATTTTTGATCCTGTACCAGTCAACAGCTTTTTAGACAGGGTGTCAATGGATCAAGGCCCCATTTCCATTGAGGAGGAGAATATTTGCCATTATTCACTTGGTTGTCCTCCAAAAATCAGCTCCCCCTTTTTTGATAAGGGTTGCTCCCCTCATCACCTCAAGAAACATTTATTGGAGATATTTTCCCCTCAAAGTTTTACACCTGGCAACCTTTCAGGGACTTTTAGTGGGGAAGGATCCTAGCTGAACCGATGCTACACATAAGACCTTCTTCCGAGTTTATCTAATGGATCGGAGACCACAAATAAAGATTGATGGGTGGATCTTCTGAGTTTACGAGCCGTCAGTTGAAGTCCAGGGTTTTAGAGAGGGAGGACCTTCCCACACGCTAAGAATCCAGTGGCTTCCCTAGGTAAGAAGACTGTGTGTAACGTATACCTGCCTTTCTGTAGTTCATAACAC